ATCATTCGTGACAAGAAATGTGTAGGAATGTCCTGCCTTGACTACACAATCTTCCTGGTTTCCCATCCTTCTCTTCGACCCAGGGATGGAAATTAGGAAGGGATTTTTTTTTCTTGAGACTTTTTCAGGTGGAAAAAGTGGAGACACCCAGGGAAACTGTGGAAGGATGAAATATGATTCCTAGAAAGCAAGGACACAGGGACTAGAAACTTCTTTCCCTTCCAGCAAGAAAGGAAGTTTGAAAAACAATACCAGAAGAAACTGAAAAACCAACTGTTTGGAAGCTTGAGAACAAGGTAGAAGAACAGAAATATATAGATAGTTTGGGGAAATCCAAAAGATAAATTTCAGCACAGTTTCAACTCTACCCAAAGTTAATAGAAAGCAATTGAGATATAATGTAGGTGAGCCTGAGGTAATAAACTTTGAAAGGACATGCAGACATGCATAGAATCTAATTTCTAAATTAACCACTCAAAGGGGGAAAAAAACCTTAGGCATTACTGTGTACTGCTCAGTGGAAACTTCTGCTCAACACACAGCAGTGGTCAGAAAGGAAAAAAAAAGTAGGAAAACAAATTAAAAACAAAACATTAGGTCCACATTAGAAACCAGACTGGGAAGAAAAGGGTATATTATAACACTGCTAAATAGCTGTGTTGTAAGCTTTTAGGTTAAAGACATACCTTCAATTCTGGAAAGAAAGAAAGAAAAGAGAGAGAGAGAGAGAGAGAGAGAGAGAAGCAAAGAGGAAAAGAAAGGAAAGAAGGAAGGAAGGAAGGAAGGAAGGAAGGAAGGAAGGAAGGAAGGAAGGAAGGAAGGAAGGAAGGAAATCTGCATATAATGTAAATGTACTGGGTTTTGCTGTTATTTAAAACAAATATTCAGTAAATTTTGTTCCATAGTATACAACACAGAAGGGTGCTCTGACTGAATCTTAGAAACAAACTTTATGACATTACAAGCTATTTAACAGCATCCAGAGAAAATATACATCATGCATATAAAAAAGGTGGAGTCTTTGGTCATGACTTCCATCTTGATTTTTTTTATCATACCCTGAGCACATCCTTGGGGCTGATAAATCTCTCTCTCTCTCTCTCTCTCTCATATATATATATATATATATATATATATATATATATATATATATATATATATATATATATATTATGATTCATTTAATATATATATAATATACAACATACATTTTGGGCACAATTGTGATCGTAAGTTGAGGACTTACCTGTATTGAAAATTCATTGAAATCAATGCAGACTTTCAAGTTCTGCTGCAGTTGTCCAAGTGTGAGAGATTCAAAGGGTGCAGGACCTCAAACTATGTAAAATTGCTGCAGCACACTTGAAATCCTGCTTCGTAAGCCATCTGCATGTGAGAACACACATAGAGACCCGAAGAATCAGGGTAGCCAACTCCTGAAGCGTTTCTGTATAGCTGACGGCGTAAATTATTACATTTCTCACAGCAAGCCCAGTTAAGCAAACACACCTCTACTGAGCTGGGAACTGAATCTGTGAATCTCACGTCACGTTGAAATGCTGGTTTAGATATTGAGCAATAACATCTCTCCCTTATTCCAATATTGGAGAAACGTTTGCAAGCTGTAGCACACAGAAATAAACCACTTACCTGGAAATACTGTGATCAGGTCTTCAAGGAAGATAGACTGTCCTTCGGGTTTCTTGAGGATTGCCGATAGCTAATGAGAAGAGGCTAAGAGTGCCGTCGTGATCTTCTCACCTTTCATAGAATAGGTGTCCCTATTGCTTGGTGAGTTTGAAGCACATTCCACATTTTGCCACTTAACCTGAGAACGTCCACATGAACATTCAACACCCAAGTGTCTCCACGTCAGCTGATGGGATCCTCCTGTAGACTATGAGGCAGGAGGAGGAGGGAAGGTCATGTGTGACTTCGTATTGCAGGTTCAAAAGGAACAGGAACTCCAGTAGCCTCCATAGCTTGTGAAAAGAAACACCAAGTTAGAGCCAGAAGTAAATCTGGTGGTGCATAAATAGCATTTTACTCTTTTTAAAAGTGGGATTTGTGTGTGTGTGTGTGTGTGTGTGTGTGTGGCCTTTATTTGTGCCTCTGGTGCTGAATTAGCATTCCAAGTCCTTGTTTTATTGCAAAAAGGGGGAGGCCAAAAACAATAGCACCCACCATACCCTGAACGGGCTCATTGCCTGTTGCTGAACAAGAACAGTTTTCAGTCCAATTTGTGTCTTTATATAATGGGTAAGTTCTTGAAACGAAACAGCTTGCCTTGGTTGTGCAAGAGGCATAATATTCGGCATAAATCAATGTTGCTGACTCGAGTTGGACTTTAGGGAGAGGGGGGGGAAGCTTCCTGATGTTTGAATGTACATGTGTATGCATGATGAATGAATTCTTTGTTCAGAAAAAAGAAATAATTACTTGCAGGAGTAGACTGAGCATGCTTGTTTGCGCTCTCTCTCTCTCTCTCTCTCTCTCTCTCTCTCTCTCTCTCTCTCTCTCTCTCTATATATATATATATATATATTATATATATATATATATATAATATATATAATATATATCCCTCCCTCCCTCTCTCTCCTCTCCCTCCCTCTCTCTCTCTCTCTCTCTCTCTCTCTCTCTCTCTCTCTCTCTCACACACACACACACACACACACACACACACACACACGATGATGTACTGTGCAAATGTAATTGTAACTCTACGCTACAAAAACCTCTTTTCCTTGTGCCAGTCTTATGTTTGGGCAACATATAATGATCCATTTCAAGGGATGCTTGAGTTAGAATAAAATAGAGAATATTTTATTTGGCCAAGTGTGATTAGATATACAAGGAATTTGTCTCTGGTACAAAAGCTCTCCGTGTACATGCAAAGCAATAAAATCATTGTCATCATCCCAATAAGAGGGGGTATTAAAGAAGAGAATAAGAAGGATAATGATACTACAGGCATACTGCATGAGTAAATACATATAGGCATTAGACAGGACAGCCCACTGCTGAAAAAGTTTTAGGTTGGATTCCTATGTTGAACGTAGGAGACCCTATACTATTTCAAACAAGTGGCTGTCCAATCTCTTCTTAAAAGCCTCCAACTACAGCTACAACTTCTGGAGGCGAGCCATTCCACTGGTTAATTGTTCTCGCTGTCAGGAAGTTTCTCCTCAGTTCTAGGTTGCTTCTCTCCTTGATTAGTTTCCATCCATTGCTTCTTGTCTTCCCTTCTGGTGCTTTGGAAAATAGGTTGACCCCTTGCCCCCTCCTCTTCTTTTTGGCAATTCCTCAAATCCTGGAACACTGCTCTCATCTCACCCCTAGTCCTTTAAATCAAACAGTTACAATTTAAATAGTAAAATATAACCCTCTGCTTTTCATAAAACCTCTGCATTTTGCTACTGCACAGGCCATCTTCCAGCCAATTGGGAAAAGGGGCTGGGGGTTCCATCTTTTTTTTTTTCAGCACCGTGCTGCCTTTGGGGAAGAGATTATTTTAGCCCCTGTTGCACATTCAGAGGGAACAAACGGAGCAGTCCCTCCTGTAGGAATCCTGATAAGCTACATAGATCCTTGATCTGGGTGGTCCCGCTTTGTTCCATTTTCTTCCAAGTTTCCATATGTGGCAGGGGGTATCTTGACATAAGTCAGCAGGACAACTCCCCCTCCCAGATCCCTGGTACTTTCTGCAAAACACAAAGCAGGAATTTGTCTGCATAAATTCACCCTCCAAAAAAATATAAGCTCATCCTTCAACAGCCATGCCAGAAAGTAAATGCTTTCCAGCTTTTTATTTTTGAATGAATCATTACGGAAGAGGCTCCAAGTTCACAAAAGCTTGGGAGAAGCTTCCTGCAATAGCTTCCCGCTTCCCCCACTCCAGACTCCCTGGCCACTTGTGGGATTTTCAGTCCAACGCGGAAATGTTGGCTTTAGATAGAAGATCTCAGAGACGGAGAGACAGAGAGCAAAAATGAGCCCCAGACTCCGCTCAGGTATGTTCCTTGAGGCATATTTATGTATTTTTTACCCAAAACTTTCTATCCGGTACTTCCAGGGCTTACGACGCAACCATCCAGGAGAGCTCAAAAGATTCCAGTGATTAAAAGGAAGACAAAGTAAAAACATTGCAGGAAAGAAGATTGTGGCTGGAGCAGGTCACACACCGTCACAATGGCCTTTGCCTGCAGAACAGGGCTCTCCAAACATGGCAACTTTAAAGACTTGTGGACTTCAACTCCCAGAATTCTTCAGCCAGCATGGAAGAGTTCTGGAAATTGAAGTCCGTAAGGCTTAAAAGTTGCCAAGTATGGAGACCCTTGCTGAGGAACGAAAGCCTTCTTAAGAAAGTAATTAGAGAATTGTTCAGCTGCTTTCCTGAGGCGGGGAGTTCCACATGCTTTCCTTTTTTGTGTGTTTATTTTTGACAGCAAGGCAGATGACTGGCTTGGGTAAAAGGGGGGGGTAGGATTCCTCTTGTTTCCATGAATTCTGTCCTGCAAAATTCCTCCGAACACTTGTCTTTCTAAACTTTGTTTTCCTGTGATGAAGAAAAACGAGGATATACAGCAAGCATCCTCTCCATTGCTCATTCATTCCTAAAAATATTTCCACCGTCCTCCCTTCTCCGTGCCAAAATGGCTGGCAGCCCAGGGGTGGGGCAGAGAAACACTATTCTGAGGTTTCGTGGGCCTTCTCCAATGGATCATTCTCTAGATATGGTTGGACTACCATTCCCAGAATTTCCACTCAGATTTCTGATGGTGAATTGTGGGAGCTTTAGCATCAACACATCTGGAAGTTGCCCAATAGAGAAAGCCTGCTGTAGCTTTATGTTCTTACAGTCATTAGAGTAAAATAAGCATTTTTTTGAGAGAGAGGGAGGGAGGGAGGGAGGGAGGGAGAGGGGGGGACAGGATGCTTCTTAAAGAGTCAAGCTGCCATCCTGTGGTCAAAAAGAAAGAAGGTCAAAAGTTAGAGAATTGTTTTTAATCAACATTTTATTCAAGATTCAATCGTTAATTTTGAAAATTGTTCAGTTTACACTGCCACCTAAAAGATGTTTCGATGTACCTTGAATTTCTTCTTTGTTCTCCTCCTCTTCCTCTTCTTCATCATCATCAACATCATGCTTTTTCCCTCCGCCCCGCCCCCCCGGTCCTATTTTTCTTTCGTGAAAGCGCTCACAAGGCAGGGACTTTAACTTTTCATTCTGAGGAATTTGCACCAAGTTCTCCGTTTTGTGCTCTCGTCTCCTCCGAGGGAGGCTTTGGTCTGTCCAACATTGTTGTCGACTCGTCGCTAGGATTCCCCGTGACTATTACCCAGTGGTTCTTGCTCTCTTCAGCTTTATGGGAATCTAGGTAGGTGTGGCAGTTGACTTCGCACTCTTTTCCAAAGTACGTCCTTGAAAAAAAAAGCAAAACAACCGCACAAAAAAACCTAAACAGAAACCCCAAAACAGCCTTTTCAAAGCTGGCTTTGGGCAAGGGGCTGGACTGAAAGATCTCCGAGATCTCTTCCAGGTCTCCTGATCATGAGAAAGAATTAAAGCTAGTTTAAAGGTAGGTTGTAAATCTGGAGATGCCTGGGGCTCACCTTATCCAGAAGGTCCTAGGAACTGCGAGGGCCTGATTTGTGTGGCTATGGACAATGACAACTTTTGTATTAGCCTGGAAAAAGGAACAAGAATGGGGAAGCTTTAAATTTCCATATTTTTATTGATTGATTGATTAGCCCTTGGGCCATATCAACGTGCAAAGTTCCAGAAACAAATTATTACTAAAATTTGATATTGAATTGGATAAAATATAATTTAAAATGAAACTGGAATAAAATAAAATGAAATTGGAATAAAGTACAGTCTAAAATGAAATTGGAATAGGATACAATAATTTAAGATATAGATAAAATACGATAAAATTATATTTCAGTGTCACCCCTGCAATCTACCATTTTGCTTGTTTTAATTGCTTACTTCAGTCAGTTATAGCGGCTCAGAATTTTCAAGCATAGAATATAAAACATATTTCCTATTAAACATGTTTGGCATACAAGTATACGTAATCCTTGACATAAAACTGATCACTTAGCAAGTGTTTGAAGTTACAATGGAGCCCCCTCCCCAAAAAAAAACTACTTACCACCCATTTCTGAAGTTACGTCTGCCCATCCCAGAGTCATGTGACTGCATTTGGGCAGTTGGCAACCACCCTGCATTTATGGCTGTTGGCGGCACCCCACAATCACACAATTATGATTTATGACACTTTGTGGGAAAACAATGTTTACCTCTGCTTAGAATCACAGTGCTTGCTTTACAACAGGGGTCTTCAAACTTGGCCCTTTTATGACTCATGGACTTCCAACTCCCAAAATTCCTCAGCCAGGCACGCTGGCTGAGGAATTCTGGGAGTTGGAAGTCCATGAGTCATAAAAGGGCCAAGTTTGAAGACCTCTGCTTTACAACTACGGCTTTCATTTAATGACTTCTGTAAAAAAAGGTGGTAAAATTGGATCTGTTATCTGATGACCTGCTTTGTGACTGTTACGACTTAACAATCATAATTATGGGGCTCAATTATGGTTGAAGACTACCTGTATCTTCACATCTCTTTTAAACCCTGCTAATATTGATTGTATATTTTGGGGCTAATGCTAATGTTTCCCTGTTCCTCTTGTAGAGTACAAAGTATAGCACAGAGTTTAGCTACTGGCTAAGAAAGATCTGAATGCTGATGTCACCCAAAGTGAGAGACATAAAATATGTACACATGAACCAGGCCGATGTTGTCCTGAAGAACAAAAACTCAGAAGCAGAAATAATAGATGGAGAAGTAGAATATTAGCTTATTTCAAAAGCTGTAGGAAAAGGGCTGTTGTGTAAACTGGAGAAGTGTTGGATGAGGCTGGTAAAGTTGAAGAGGACATTTAAGACAGACCCACGAACAAAGCTAAGAATGAAATTCAGAATGTCTATGAGATTCTCAATCATCCAGCTCACGGTTGTCTCCAAGATCTTTTTTTCAAGAGGCAACTGAACTTCCTTTACTTTTCCTTGAAGATGTTTCACTTCTCATCCAAGAAGCTTCTTCAGTTCAGTTCCAGAAGCTTCTTGGATGAGAAGTGAAAAGTCTTCAAGGAAAAATGAAGAGTTGCCTCTTGAAAAAGCACTTTTGGGAAATTCAGCATGGTTCTCCTTTAAGTTCTCTCCCACACACTCACATTCTCTCTTTACAAATACAGATGTTTCCTTACAGGGATGGGCAAACCTTCATATTCCAGGCGTAACTGTGGATCCAGAAAGGTAACTTGCCAGGCACACAGGTATGAAAGTTCATCCGTCATGAAGACAGGCTGGAGAGAAGATTTCTTGGCCATATTATGAAATGATCTAGAGTCGCTGGCCAAAAACAGCTGAAAATGAAAACATAAGGAAGTGATTTGCCCGGAAATTAGATCACCATTGTTGAAGATTGACAGAAACCAAAGGGGGGGGGGAATTACCAGTATATTTACTGCTCTCTATGATCTAAGATGATCAGAGTTTGCCTTCTCCCATTTGCAAATCTGAAGCTAAATATATGGAGGGTTCTGTACAGTTTCACAGAATGGGAGAAGATACAGAAATACAGCTACTGTGTATTGAATCAGAAGCTGGTACCTTGACTAAAATTACACTGATCTAAAAGTTGTGCTTGGGATACAGATGAAATTTTGAAATGGAACAATAGGATCCACTCACGGGCATCTCCAGGGAAGTGGAGTTAAGGAAAAAAAAAAGGTCAAGATGCACCAATGCATCTAGGATTAAAACTCTGAACTGGATTAGGGACTATATAAATATTGGACAGTGTTTCTTAGGTGGTTTCATCCTGTATCAGATTATTTTTAACTCAGGCTTGTCTAACTAGACTTCAATTCTCCTGACAAATGCATTTTCTATTAACTCCTCCCAAAATGGATTTCTTTATGAAACATTGGACTTATTAAAATGATGTTATTTATCACTCACCATTTTATCCTGAAATCCACCAGCTGTTCCAAGGCCAAAATTCTGTCCAAATCTAACAGGTTCCCCCATGGCTTCTCCTTCAAGGCTTTAATATAAGGAGAAAAATATCAGTGCAACACAACGCAATACAATCGTTTACTTTAAAGCAACTCTTTTAATTCTATATACAGAAAATGTTTTTTCCTGGGAGTCTAAGCAAAAGGGGAAAAAAGGAGCCATTTGGTTCCTAAAAGTTTCCAGTTCAACTTTTCATGGGGAGAAAGAGAACTTTTGGGAGGGAAAGGTAGAGGACTTACAAGATATTTCAGTCCACAAACTTGATGGCATTCTTTACAAATTTATTTTCAACATACACAGCAATAAAAGGCTGTGAAGCAGCCATTATAAACCAGCAGAGAATGTGGGCGTGTGTGGGTGGTGTACGCGTGTGATCACTTTTAAACGGGAACATCCATTGAAAATGATAAAATTACAGAGTACTGCTAAACACTCATCAAGGAGCAAAAAAAAAAAAAGATCTGGAGTCAAATCTGCAGTCAGCGATAAAGGTTTCATTTCTAACCAAAAAAAAAAAAAAAAAAGACAATTCCAGGCAGGGTGGAAAAACATTCTGATCTGGAAACTTGGAAAAAAGCTGCCAATCAGGGATGGCAAGGAGGTGATTCATCATCTCTTCATTGCCCTACAGTTACATAATACACTTAGAGCAGGAATGAACAGAAGGACTGTCCATCTAATAAATGGGGCCATATAATATGCAGGGTAGATTTGGAGGAAGAATGGGAAATACTGTGTCTTCTAGCTCTGATGTGTCTATTTTAGGAGTCCTACTATATTCAGTCTGTGTTTCCCATCTCAAGTGGGAAGTGGTACTCTCAATTTTCAGCAATTGTAACCAGACGAGGAAACTATTCTTGCAGGTCTTGGAGAATCACGTTGCCCATCTCTGACTTATTGTTTTAAGGCCATATGTGACCTTCAGACTAATTCCATGTGGTTCTCAAGCCAACTGCAAACACGTTAGGTCAAAGTTCAGCAGGGACCATGGATAAAGAGGTCTTTGGAAAAGATATGTGTGTCTGTGTGTGTAGAGAGAGAATAAGTGTCCCCATTCATTTTTGGTTTTATTTAACTCTCCCTTTTGGCCCTGTACATCCTACCAGCTGCACTCGGTGTGACATCATCAACATGGCTCCTCCCACAATGATATCCATTGTTCCATCCCTTTCCCTCTCAATATTCACTAGACTTGGTCCTTCGCCCATCTTACTGCTAAATCTTTTTGCGAGAGTGTCCCACCTTAAAATCCGAAATGCATTCCGCCCCACGGGGTTCACATGACTGATTGCACTCAAGTCACATGGAGCTGACAAATTATCGCCCGTATACAGAGTCGATATATCCGGATTCACAGCCAGGGACAAATTTCCACCCATAATAAAAGCTTTTTCCTCCGGAAGTCTAGTGACATCTAGGTTCATGAATAGAACTGTGTCTCCAAAATGAATAAATCCATCTTTTGAAATGGAAAGCTGCTCCTGTTTGTGAGAAGAGAGAGGAAGATGGTAAGTGTGCACAGTTCCCCTTTGCCTTTTCCACAATGCACGGCCATTGAGTTTGGTGGCTGGAGCAAACGAGTAGGGAACAAAATGCAAGTGTTCTGGAGAATTAGGAGAACCCTCAAAATGTTTTGTGATGTAATACCTTCTTGTAAAGAGCATCTTTCAGTCTTCGGGATTTCTGGATTATTAGTTCTCCATTTTCTCTTTTATATAAAAAATCTTTCAACGATTCCTATTTTTAAAAGAAAAAAAAGCTTAAGTTAGAATTTAATATGTATCCTGTATATTACTGCAACATGATCAGGTGCATAATGTCTGCCACCTTAGGAAATTCAGCCAAATGGCTAAATCCCATATAAAGAATGAAAACAAAGGCATAAAAGAACTATGAAGAGGTTTTCCCACTTATGATGACAGAGTAAATGTGTGAAGACAACAATATTTTGTAGACATGCACAGTGAGGATGCTTGAGGAATATAGTTGTTATAAATTCTTGTATAAAATAATTTGTTGAACCAATGCAACAGATCCATAGAAATACATTTTAAAAAGAGAGAGAGAGAGAACGCACATTTAGCATGCAGGATTAAATCCCTATTTCTGGAATATGCCAAATAACTCACAAAATAACACAGAATGAGATGGAATTTGGGTTTAACAAAACAAGGCAAGTATCCAGTTGTAAAGAAAGAAAGAAAGACTGCTGCTATAACAGTCAACTAGATTGTCAGCAAAATCTAGAGTTATTGCTATCACATCTCCCTTTCATATTGTGCTCAACAAAGTTGCTTTTGAGATTTGCACAAACAGCAAAACACGAATGGAACAATGTAAAGGGTGGAGAGTTTTTATTTACCTCTTCTAGGCACACGTCTTCAAACCAGTTTCCAAGAAGCACACCAGGACTGTATACCCGGCCACTTTTACTTGTCCGAACATTGATCATCTGGAGAGGACTAGAAGTGAAGGCATCCAAGCTGGCTTAAAGAAAACGACACTTTCAACAAGTCTGCAATCAGCAAAATAACTGATCAATGTTGGGTTTACAGGTTGCTATGGGGACCAGGATTGGCCAGGATTGGTCTAGTGGGACAGGGTTATTAGCCAATCAGAATCGATCTGACTAGAACGGATGAGGGAAGGTGTGAGACGTTATCTGCATCCTTTTAATTCCACAGCGGGACTGGAGACAGCCACAAAGGAGACTCTTTTTGTAAAGCAAAGACTCTTTTTGTAAAGCAAAAAGAGAAAGCATGAGAAAGTACAACTTGACAAGCTTCTTTGAGAGACAAACACACATATGGATATTCCAGATTAAAAATAAGTGAACCGTTCTTTCTCACAGCTTTACAGGGAATGATATCCTGTTTTCGATGGAGGCAATGTTTTTTTTAAAAAAAATAAATAAATGATAAATAAACAAGATAACGTGCACAAGAAGAAAATCAAGGAAGTGAAAGTGGTAGTTAAAGCTGGGGAAGAAAGGGATAAGCCAAGTGCTTGTTTCTCAAATGGTTTGTTTTTCCTTTTTATAGTATTTAAGGTATCTATTGATATGTAAGGGGAAAAAAACCTCCCTTTTTATAATCCTGTAATCCCTTAATTGGGGTGGAGTCAAAGCTATCGACTCTACCCTGAATTAATAATAATACCCCAAATTAATAATTGTTATTGTTATGATGTAAGAAACACACAATTAAATTCAGAACAAAGGTATGGTTGATAATGTATTGGCTTAAAAAAACAACATCCATTCAACTCAACCATAACAGTTTAAAACTCAAAGTCTTAACTTGACCACAAATGTTTTCACCTGCCAAACAAACAAGAATAAATTCATCCTGACCTTTCTGTGGAGGACTTCCACATTTTGAGAGATGCAATAAAAAAGAAACATTCCATATTTACCAAGTTGTTGGGGTTCACACCAAAATAGACAAAATGCTACGTATGGAAATTTTACATAAATAGAATACCAGTTGTGAGGAAGGAAAGTGGGGACATCCAAGTTGGAAAACAAAGATTGTGATTTCACAGTATTTACACTGTCATAACATAACAAAGGGGCAATGAATATATGAATTCTCATAATTCAAATCACAAATAGCTTGATATTCTCATCAAGAACTCTGTTTCAAACAAGCTTGCTTTTACTATATCCAACTTTAAAACAAACAACTTCTAAGTATAAAAACAGAACAAAGGGTCGTGTGGCATTCTAAAGAGTGAGAAGTCGTTGCCAAATAAACATTTAGTGTGCTGTTGGTAAAGACTAATATACTACAAATTCCTATTTATTTTGGTCACTTATTAGAGACATATACAATGTACATCACTGGCATTGCATATTTTTAGGATATCTGACACACTGCAGATCATACGCAGTACTAAAACATCATTTTTATATTTAATAGGACAACCTATTTAAAAGTTCTCAGCTTTGCAGCAGCAGGATTATTAAGGACTATACAGCAGCTCCATCTTCTGGAATATGTGAGACAATACACAAGGTGACTAGATTTATTTTAAATCTGATCCCTGGATTACAAAACTCTCCTGCTGGATACTTACATAAAGAGAGTGGATAAACATGTGTTGTTGCTCAAGTTTATTTAGAATTCCCAATTAAGAGTTTGGAACCAACTTGTAGAGAGTGTAGAGATTGCCCCATTTATAATAATCTGGTTAAAATGTCTAGCATCATAAGCAGGCTGTTTTTGAATTCAAACTTGTTTTTTTAAAAAACAGTTTTAATTAGGTTGGCTGGTTAATCTCTGAATATCTGTACAGAAGATGTATACAAGCCATCTTTAAAGGGAAGCTGAAACAAGTTTGCAATTTTATACATGTTTATCTTGAAGATCTTTCTCTCTGTCTCTGGGAATAGGTCTTATTAAAATCAAAGGGGCTTGTTTTCAAATAGAATTGGGTTGTCCCGGACATCGCATATTAGCTATACAGAATTTAATTTCTGGGTAATTGTTATCCCATTTCTTCTGCAATTCAAGCAAAGCTTAGTGAAACATTTTTTTCTTTTGCAAAAGTGCTAAGTATCAAATCTTCTACAGTTGTTTTAATAATAAACAAAAGAGATTTCTAATTGCTGCTACTTTCAGAATGCTTTCCTGTGATTATCAGGACATTCTATTAAGCCGCTTTAGCTGGATATCAAGACACATTAAATGCATAACTGTATTTTAGTCTAAAGAACTGTGTAAACTCGGCCACTGTGGTTAGTTTATGAGTCGGTGTATCACACGAGGCCCCAAAAAGGAATTAATTTGAGACACAGCTGAGCGAACTACAAACATAACTGTATGATACAAACATATTACAGAAAGGTAGAGAAAAGGAGGCAATTGTTTTAAATAAATAAATCGCTTCCCGTATGTCATATTAATCATCATCTATACATCAATGGCTAGTGACCCATTTTATTTATTTTGCTTTCTCATAGAAAAGATTGAAAGCCTGTTTTCCAAATCCTAAATCATGAAATGGACTTTGAATTTGCCTTTATCCAGAGTTGGAATTGGATCAATTCTATTTTTAATCAGCATGATCAGATGAGAGAGAGAGAGAGAGAGAGAGGTTGTTTTGCCATTTGGGAGAAGCATGTCAGTTAAGTGCATCTTTGAACACCCATTTCGGCCACTCATTTCCTTTTTGGCAGGAAGTCCCCCATCAAGGGGATTTTTATTTTTTAAGTTTTCCACCTATTCATAGCTGTTGGGAAGGACACACCCAGGCTGAGCCTCCTTCCTATATGCAAGTCATTCTTCTCTTCACAGCTGGGAAGAAAAACTTCACAAAAGTACCGTGGACACTGAGGACTGTCCTTGACTCCTTTTACCACTAATTTTACCCATAATTACTTTTTTTTTTCAGTTTCTCCTCCCTTCTATGTTCATAAAGAGAGCAGAAGAATGCAAACATTTACAGCCAGTTTGATGTAGGGGTGAAAAGCACTGGATTAGCAACTAGGCGACCAGGAGTTCTAGTCCCACTTTAAGGTACAAATCTAGCTGGGTGGCTGTGAGCCAACCCTTCCCTCTCAGCCCTAGGAAAGAGGGGGCAGGGGCTCACCACCTCCCAAAAGTTAGGAACAAAACTGCAGGGACTCTTCCAGAAGTCAGGTCCAGTTTGAAAGTACACACAAAGAAGGTTATCATTAATAAAGGCAGGGCGACTCTGAAATTAGGTAAAATAAGGCGATTGCTTTAGACCAGAGATTTTGACTATTGGAACATGACAACAAACAGCTAGCTGTTTTGTAGGGCCACATTGTTTACTTATCCTTAGACTCAAAACTCTGCAAAAATGACTGGGTAATGGACCATGGCAGGAAATTTATAGGAGAGAAAACGTGTGTGTGTGTGTGTGTGTGTGTGTGTGTGTAGACTCAAGTTCTGGTTTTTGTTGTTGCTGCTGTAATGATGATTGTGGGTTGTGATTCCTACCTGGCCAACGTGGTCCCAAGATGTCCTTTGCTTTCCGAACTGGTTGTCTCCCAACAGAGATCCATTGACCCCTCTGTGAATAGCAAGACCAGGTTTTCAATCATCACATTTTGGGTAGATGCCCTGTATAAATCGTCACTCCATTTTAGGTTTTTGGTGTGCGTGTATCTCTCAGTTGCAGGACAGCCCTGGAGAGGGAGAGCTGATCCAGAGTTCGGCGTTTCCTTTTTCTTTTTAAATCGTCTAACTTGGCGTCTTTTCTGAGTTCCCACCCAGTGATATAATTCCTGGGAAAAGTGCCCTTGCGAGAAATATGGGACACAAGGATTGTAGCGAATGCTCCATTCTTTTGGGACACCTGCAGATGTTCAGCATTTGTTAAGCCATGGATTAAAAGGAATGGAGAATTTGGGGGGGGGGTTGGACAAGAGGATAAACGGGCAAACAACAAAGCAGGCATTATGAGCCTCAATCTTGATTGGAATGTGAGAGATTTTTGTTATTAAGGAATCTAAGTCCTGTCCAAGTTACCTTCTTAATATTAGCCTTTCCAGCAGGGCCATTCTCGGCCATTATTAGAAAAAAAAATACAGCTTGTGCTTATTTTATAGTTAATCAAAGCTTAGTAGGTCAGTCAATTTATTACAGCCTTAAACCAATACAGATAGTCCTCAACTTATGAGCACAACTGAGGCCAAAATTTCTGTTGCCAAACAAGATAGTCACCATGATGTAAAAAAGATGTTGAGACTCTAGAAAGAGTACAGAGAAGAGCAACAAAGATGATTAGGGGACTGGGGGCTAAAACATATGAGGAACGGTTGCTGGAATTGGGTATGTCTAGTTTAATGAAGAGAAGGACGAGGGGGGACATGATAGCAGTGTTCCAATATCTCAGGGGCTGCCACAAAGAAGAGGGAGTCAAGCTATTCTCCAAGCGCCTGAAGGTAGGACAAGAAGCAACGGATGGAAACTAATCAAGGAGAGAAGCAACCTGGAACCAAGGAGAAACTTCCTGACAGTCAGAACAATTAACCAGTGGAACAGCTTGCCTCCAGAAGCGATGAATGCTCCAACACTGGAAGTTTTTAAGAAGAGACTGGACAGCCATTTGTTTGAAATGATATAGGGTTTCCTGCCTGAGCAGGGGGTTAGACTAGATGACCTCCAAGGTCCCTTCCAACTTTATTATTATTGTTGTTAAGTGAGTGTTGCCCCATTTTACAACTTTTCTTGCCACGGTTGTTAAGTGAATCACTGCAGTTGTTAAGTTAGTAACACGGTTGTAAAGTGAATCTTGGCTTCTCCGTTGACTTTGCTTGTCAGAAGGTCGCCAAAGGGGATCACATGATCCCAGGACGCTGCAAACCGTCATAAATACATGCCAGTTGCCAAGCACTGAATATTGATCACCTGTCTATGGGGACGCGGCAACGGTTGTGTGAAAATGGTCCTAAGCCACTTTTTTTACAGTGCTGCTGTCGCTTTGAATGGTCACTAAACAAACGATTATAAGCTGAG